AGCCATTATTGCTGTCTGCCAACTACCACTTGGTTTACATTAGTCCTATAATCTAATCTTTGGTAACATATAAATGAAAAATATTTTGCATTATTTTATTTATTTTAAATTTGTTTTAACATTGCTGTTTGCAGTCAAGATTTTGTTTATTTTGTTTTTATTTGTGATCTATGATCTTTGGTAACTAATAAGTAGATAAATACTAAATACAAATTCTTTGCTGGTATTAATAGTAATTACTAATTAGCTCTTGGGAATAGATACAAAAGTAAATATTTTAAAATTCAAGCCCAAAAATGAAAAATTTACAAACTTTAGGTCCCATGAGGCAGTTATATTTTCTGATAGAGCTGGATAGAGTGTTTGTTGATACAAATTTTAAATTCATTTAGGTTACAAGAGTCAGTTGCAGTTTGTGGGTGTGAATTCTATCAGTTGACTACTCTGTTAGGAAAGAATTAAGCCTAATAGAGATAGCTCGTATGTTGTTGGTGAGGTCTGAAACACTAAAGAACTCTTTGATGAGACGTTGAGTGTGTCCTTGAGTTATTTGGACAAATGGATTGCCAATTTGTGGGTTAAGCCAATAAGCATTTTCTAACTTATTATTAAAGTTATAATTGTAGATTAAATCACCTTGAATCCGTCTTTCATTTAGTGAGGTGGCGTGAAGAAATGATAATATGACTTAGCTGGATAGCGCTGGATAGACGGAATTGCTTTGGTGGCACAGTTTTGGACTTTTTCAAGTTTTTTGATGTTGCGTGCAGAAAGAGAATTCTATACAGGAACAGCATACTCGAGGTGAGGCCTGACAAGGATGTGTATAGTTTCTTCCTATCATTAAAATTTTTATAGATAAAAGATTTCTTTAGTTGACCAAGAACAGAGTTAGCTTTAAATGATATTATTTCAATGTGAGTATCCCATTTGAGGTTGATTGAGATGCAAATGCCAAGATTTCTTTCGTTGTGAGAGGAATCAAGAAGCTGCATCCCTTACTGACTCAAGATATATCATTGATGATTAGGATTTTAACTTTTGTTAATATGGTAAGGTAAAATTTTTGTTGTTAAGGTGTAAGCGCCAGGTTAGAGTCCAAGATGTGATGTGATTTATATCCTTCTGAAGCAAAGCTGGGCTCTCAGGTGTCAAGTTGGTGGAAATAACTTTGCTGTAGTTGGCATATAACTTCATCGGATTGCTAATAAGGTCTGTAATGTCATTGATTTATAAGATAATAAAAGATTTAAATAAAAATAAAATTTAAATAAAAGAGTTCCTAGAACAAATCCTTGTGGGATACCAATGGTGACTGGTAACCAATCAAAAGTAGTGGAACCGATGACAACTCGTTGTGTTCTGTTAGAAAGAAAAGAATTTATCCAAAATACCATATCTAGAAAGTTTGTGAAGCATAAGATTATGAGGAGGTCTGTCAAATGCTTTTTCATAATCTAGATATAAAGCATCTACACTACAGCCTCTTGCCATTGAGTATGAGATCTGATTGACAGTCTCCTATAAATTAGTAATGCATGATTTATTTGGCACCAACACGTGCTGATTTTGAGATAAAAGCTAATTAGCACATAGATACTCAATAAACCAATCTTTTACAATACACTCTAGGATTTTGCAGCAGACAGAAGTTAAAGAAATGGGTCTGTAGTTTGATGCATCAAGTTTGGATCCTTTTTTGTGAAGCAGTGTAATGTTAGCTTCCAGCCATGCTGCTGGGACTTGACCTTCAGATTGACAAATAGATTTTATAAATATATAAGTAATTGACAAATAGATTTTATAAAATATAAGTAATTGACACATTCAGAGATGAAGAACATTTGTTGAGAACATGTGGGTTAATACGCCTGTAGACTTATGCATTTTAAGTTTTGAGAGTTTTTAAGTTTTGAGACAAAAGTCTCATCAATCACAGAAAGTGTGCGTTTCTTGAATGGTGGCAGTGATTGACTTAAACTTGAAGAAGTAAAAACAGATAAAAAGAATTTGTTAAGGATTGTAGCTATATGGCTTTGATTGGTTGTAACTTTCATAAGACTCTTTCATAAATCTTAATTGATTTTCAAACAAAGTTTCATGTTTATGTATTGATATATAAGTTTTGGGATTGTCTTGGCTTTTTCTGATATAAATTTTTCATATTGCAGCTGTTGTTGTATTTTGTAGTGCCCAAACGCCAGTTTTTTATTGCAGAAATTAATTTTTTTGTGATCCAAGTTTTGCGTAAACTAGAATTATGCAATTTAATTGCTGGTATTTGAAGATTACATCCCTTAATATAGATGGATTGGAATGCTTCATAGCATTCTTTAATATTTAAATTTCTAAATTAATTAGCGAAGTTGACATCTTTAAAATACATATTTAGTTTATCAAAGTTACCATTTTAAAAATCTTGTCGATATGAAAAAAACATTTCTAGAAGGGTTTTAAGATGCAACAATAAAATTCCAAGTTAGAATTAAATGAGCTCGTCCTTTTTTGGTGTAGCCAAGTTGAGAATGTCATTTAAGAGAAAATATACATTGAGTAGACAGTTAAAATAACATCTAGAGTGCTAGATGGGCCTAATATAAGGTTCAATTAAAAAGTATTAAAATCAACATGCTGCCTTAAATGATTTAAGTCAAATATCTCAATAAATTCTTAAGCTATTGGATTTGTGGTGGTTGCAGTGTTGTTAGAACATGTCGTATGGTCAAGTTTAAAATCTCCTGTGATTAGAAGACCAGGGTACTGTTTTTTCCCTACTAAATTCAATGTGAAATTTATAGAGGCTTTAGTTTGGTTGTTTTCAAGGTCATTGCTGAAAGGTGGGCGGTATATACATTTTTTTTAATTATCTTCGCTTCCAACAAGGCTGCAAGCAACTACTAATTAGTGTTGGAAGTTACTGGAAGAAAAAAGATTAAGAATGTAGAGCAAGATAACGATTGACAGACGACTTTAAAGATTGCAAATTATATGAATCAGGAAAGCAAGACGAAGGAAGTGAATTCCAAAGAACTGATGTTCGAGGAAAAAAACTAGACGAATAAGAGTTTTTGGATCACTTAGGAACAGTAACAGAAAAAGGATGAGGCTTAATTGAATGACGAGTAACACGAGAATGAATTTTAGTAGATGGCACAAGAGACGCTAGCTCTTTCGAGCAGTGCCCATTATAGTATTTGTAGAAAAGAGAAAAAGAAGCAACATTACGACGATGTGACAGAGGTTGAAGGTTGGCTGCAAGAGCAGGTCTAACTATGTTTACAATGCGTTTTTGTACCTTTTCTAAAAGAGAATGGGCATCGTTAGAAGATCCGCCTCAGATATGGCAACAGTATTCAAGGCAAGGCCGGATTTGAGATTTATAGAGATAGAGAATAGAATCCAGAGTAAGAAAGTGACAAGCTCGATAAAGAGAAGCAACTTTAGCAGATGCTAATTTTGCAACAGATTTGATGTAAGGTTTCCAAGAAAGATCAGAAGTAAGAGTTAATCCTAGAAGATGAAGGGTAGGAGACTAGATGCCCCCAGCAAGCAATCAGAGGGAGTTGGCTTCCTATCGTGACAAGAATAAATTGTACTATCATCAGCAAACAATGCCACCTTAGATGTGAGAATATCTGAAAGATCGTTAATGTAAATTAAAAAGACTATAGGGCCAAGGATTAAACCTTGAGGAACTCCTGAGGTTACAGAATAAGAAGAAGAGTGCTGTCCATCAAGGACAACTTTTATACTACGATTGGAAAGGAAGGATTAAATAATCTTAAAGATGTTTCTAGATACACCGTAAGAAGAAAGCTTATAGAGAAGACCAGCATGCCAAACTTTATCAAACGCTTTAGAAATGTCAAGAGCAATGGCCTTAACCTCTCCACCTTTATCTAATGCGCGATAAAACCTATCGGTTATTACTGATAGCAAATCAGCCATAGAACGAAAAGATCGAAATCCATATTGATGATCAGAAAGTAGGTTATGAGATGCGAGATGAGAGATTAAGTGTTTGTTAATTAAAGATTCAAAAACCTTGCTTATGATAGGAAGAAGACTAATGGGACGGTAGTTAGACAAATCGGATCGCTCTCCAGAATTTTTTAAAAATAGGGAAAACAACAGGCTGGAAAACAAGACTCTGATAAGCACTTGTTAAATAGTTTTGAAAGGATAGATGACAATTCCGGAGAACACTTCTGCAAGACTATAACAGGTATGTTGTCCGGGCCGCAAGCTGTAGAAGAGTCTAAGCGGGAAATCACTTGAGATACAGAAGCTGGAGTGATACGAATGACGAGCAATGAATCAACCTGTTTGACGGCTATATCAGGTAGAACGTAACAAGTAGCATCAAGAGATGATATTGATGAAAAGTTCTTGGCAAACAATACTGCTTTGTCTTTAGGTGAGGTGACAAAGTCTGAACCATACAAAAGAGGTGGAATTACAGACTTGCCCTTATTATTGATACTATTAAAGGTTCTTCAGAAGTCAGGAGAGCCTAATTTTTGTGATGAAATACGAGACTTCATGATCTGAGAATAGCGGGCTTTGGCATTAGACAAAACCTTTTTACAATGGTTCCTAGCAGTAATAAACAGACGTCTGTTTTCTGGAGAACTGTTTTGCTGATAGACATGGAAGTAATAGTTTTGATTGGCAATTGCAGCAGCACAATGTGAGGAAAACCATGGAGAAGAGTGAGGCTTGACCTGAAATCGTCGAGAGTGAATAAAGGATTCCATGGCAGCCTGAATCCATGAAGTTATTTAAAAAGCACATTTGTCAACAGAGAGACGAAAGATATCTACCCTGGGGCCATCACGAAGAAAATCACGGAAAGAGTCCCAGTCAGCTTTAAGGTAGTTGTAAGAAGTACGATGATAGGGGGATTCTGATGGTAAAGAAGAATGAGATAATAGTTTTAGAGAGACCAAATCATGATCAGAAGCACCTAAGGGTGAGTGTGAAGAAACTGAGCACTGACTAGGATCAGAAACAAGACATAAGTCGAGTAGAGAAGGTAAATGATTCAGGTTGTCTGGAAAGCGAGTTGGAAAGTTGACTATTTGAGTTAGGGATTGGAAAAGACAAAAGTTGTGGGCCTCAATGCCTGCAGAGTCAGTGACACTAGAGTTAAGCCATTCAGTGTGATGAACATTAAAGTCACCGACAACAATAATAGTGGCTGATGGATAAAGGCTTGGTCAATATAATCAGAAATAACATCAAGAAGAGTGCAGTCTTGAGATAAGGGAGAGCGATATAGAACAAAGAGAAAGGTGATAGAGTGAAGTGGTGCTAAACGAAAGCACATAAAAGAGTTGTCTGTGGATTCAAACCTAGTTTCCCGACAAATGGGTGAACTCTTACGAATGTAAATGCCTAGGCCAAGCATGTGACTATTGGAGTCTTTACGAAATAAAGGAAGATAACCATCAACACTAAGATCACAAGATGAGACAACTCAAATTAGTTTCACTAAGAGCAAGTAGGTCTGGTAAACTTTGCAAGAGATAAGAATCAACAGAAGAAAATTTACTTCAAAGACCACGAATATTGGTGAATGATAGGTTTAGCGAACTTGGTGATGACTGTGGTTTTTTGTGTTTTATAGTTTTTGTTACTTTATTTGTTTTTAAATTTGTTAAAGAACTTGACTCGAAACATAGATAGTACTCAGTACACTGTTCTATAGCCAAAGCAATTGCCTCATTGCCATTAATAAACCCTAAGCCGTAACAAAGGGCTCCAATGTGACTAGGAGGCCTTTTACAAGACAGCAGCCGGAT